GCTCTCATCTCTATTCCATTCCGCTCGTTCCGTTCCGTTTTGAATTGAAATGCAAATGAAATTTGCAAATTTCTGATCTTTTAATTAAACGAATTTTATTGGAAGACCCAGCTGCTGTGTCGATTCGAGTTTTTTCACCATTTTATTTGACGGAATTCCGTCATGAATATTTATTGAAAAAGCGCCACTGTTAATTTGTTTTGATTGGTTCAGCGGAGGCTCGCGAAAACAAAATTCATTTGTGATCGTATCAAATGTCCAGGGGCTAAAAGCCATCAAAATACCTTAATGGCCAACTATTTACGGAGCTAAAGCGATGTCCATTAACATTACCATGACAGAGGAGGGCCAAGTATAAATTTTAAGCCAAAAACTAACCTCAGGCGAAAAATATATAAAGTGAAATTGTTTTCGGGGCGAATATTTGTTGTTGTGTTTTTTGTTTCCACCAAACATTTCTTTGTTGAAGAATTTCAGTTGATTTGAAATGATGATGAAAGGGCCGTCAAAAGACCTGCCACGGTTTGTTAGCAGTTGAGAGAGAGGTTACGGGTACGGGTACGGGTACGGGTTCCATGTACTCCATGGAAGGTAGGATACAAAATCAAACGATTTATGTTTTTTTAATTAACCCAACAATTTGTTACGTGCCTCAAACGCGCACACTCTCACAGACAGGCGGACGGAGAGGATGTCTAGGCTAGTCGAGAGGGGTCGCGCCATAACGAATTCATATTTTGATTTATTGAATAGAAATCGATTGGATTAATCGAAAGAAATTATATTGCGCCGGCCCGGCCGGCTGTCGATGAGATTTGCTGTGCCTGTTGGATCCCCCCGAAGCCCCTACCCTTTGCGGTGTGTGTGTGTCTCTGTGGAATTGAAATTAAAGGAAATCAGCCAGAAAAATGTTGTGGCGTGCAATTAAATTTTGTATCTGGATGCCACTCGTTTTTGCTGTCTTCTTTCCCCCTCTCGTTACAACCAAAGCTGGCCATAAAACGAGTTTGGTTTGTATTTGATTTGGTTTAGAGTTTGCTTCGAGAACGTGGAGCTTATGTGGCTTGGTTTTCTGCGTGGAATGTGTGCAAAAATACAAAAGTTATATGGAAATATTTTATATTATTTTATTTAGATGAAAAGGGAACAAAATATGGAATAAAACATTCATTGTACTTAGCTCAAATCTCGTATATCCCATAAGCAAAAAATAACCGCAAATCGTAAGCCGATCCATCTACAATCGTACTTTGCATAAGTACAAGAACATCGCTCAAAGATCAGTCTCCCTCAGGCGTACCTTTATCCAAACAACACATCAAAACATCGTACAAAACTTCTTTCCCATGGAAAGAGGCCCAGCAGCAGTACCAGTACCAGAACCAGAAACCTTTAAACAAATCAAGCCACGACCACACAACAAACCCGACAACGTCAACGACTGACAAAGAACAAAAACAAAACCCCAATGGAAAAATGGCCAAAAGCGAGAGAGAGAGAAAAACTTGTTGACACAAAACCCAAACCGAAACCCATACAAAACCCAGGTGGGTGTCTCTTTCTGGTCCGCTATGGCCCTCTCTGTCGCTCTGTGAACAGTTCGGTTCGAGACTGCTGGCTGGTGGTTCGTTCACTTTCTGTGTCGGCACAATTTAAGTTTCAATAAGCGACTATTTGTTGCAATTTAAGCTGAACGCGTTTATAAATTGACGACGGAAACAGCCGACGACTGCGGCATAGACAAGGTAGGAGAATGGCACAGAGAGAGAGGGAGAGTGATGCAGAGGTGTGGCAAGGGGAGGTGCAACATGGCCAACTGGGGAATTGCCTAGCTAGGCACAGACCCGACCCGGGAGAGTGACAGGGCCCCCGGACGTTTAAATAGAGCGAAAACATACTGGCATGCCCGCTGTAACGTCTAATTTTCGGTTTTTGTTACAAAGTTAAATATGGTCTGACATTTAAATTACATAAATTAATTTATACTAGTTATGGTTTCTCTGCAGCTATATATTTTATTGGTGGTTTGCTTTTATTATTGTGATTTTTTTCGCTTGCTGTTTTTGTGGTTTCATTTCGGCGGCTTTTGTGGTCAACTAATTTTCGCGGTTGTCATTTTTTAATTTCATTATTTTTATAGTTGAATGTCGGGTAAACAGTTAGTGGTTACTAATGGGAGTTAGAGTCTGTTCTTTTGGGAAATAATTAAAACAGTTTTTAGTTTCCACAGGGGACATATTTCCTTTCGGGTCCACCTAAGAAATGCCATTAGGGCGGCCATCAAAGCATTTTAGGAACACAAAAGATTTCAATAATTTAATTCAAAAAGCCACGGAACGTAACACTTCATTTGCTAGACAATAAATAATAAAATAAAATTGTATTCGAACAGCTTGGACCAGACGCATTGGCACCATAACAATACATTAATGATCATTTTAACACTTGGCTAATAGTTTTTTGATCAAAAATTTAACGCCACACTCGAGTTACAATGGTGCTCTTTGGGTACACACCCAGCCCCATCATAAAGCATCACCAGCCTAGCCAACCTGACCACACGCATGTTGGGAGAAACCTTAATTGCTTTTCAAAGTGCAGCCAAAGATGATAAATTGTTGGATGGGAAAGCCGAAGATCGGCGAAGCGAGCTGATCCCAGACTGACTGTCTGGAACGATCGCTGGGGCTTATTGAGTTACGATGTCAGTGGAAGATCATTAAAATTACAGGCAGACCAGCCAGACACAGGGTTCCCAAGAAATCTCAAGGGACAGAGGGCCAGCTGGCCCCCACCATTCCCCATCAAAAGTTTTGTAATTTTTCAATATTCGCACACACAAAACGAAATTAGCTCGTTGGACGATCGGGATCGGGATCGGGATCGGACTAGGGATTGGGATAGGGTTGGATCGGAATACCAACGCATGCAAATTTCACAGGAATCAAAAAGCAGCACAACAACGGCAAAAAGATGAACAAAATAAATACAAATAATAATAAAAAGGCTTATCCCCCAGCCTCAAGAGTCGTTGCGGCGTTGTGACTTATGGCTGAGCCCGGGCCAGACCTCGGACACAGTTGCTTTCGTCTCGCTAATGCACTGAGAGAAATTATATTAAAATTATATTGAAAGAATTGAGAAGAAATGGGAGCACTTTTCTCCAGTATTGATCAGATGAGGAATCCGATGTCTTTCTGGCAGTATTTTCTTTCAGTGCAGCTTCGGCTTTGGTATATGGTGTGTCTCGTTTCGTTTGGACCATGTGCAGACAGTTGTGAAATTATATTTGCGCACCGTCATGGCCATTGTGTAGCGGAGCTGCAACAGGACTGCGGCCAACACTGCAACAGAGATGGAGACTCTGCCTGGACTGGACTGGACTGGACGCGACTCAGCTTTCGATTTGTCAGGGCAGACGAATAGCTTAACAGTTGGGCCAGCATCGTCTGTGGCAGGTTGTTGCAGGGGTCGATCGAGCCGCTATGGGAGAGCTATGGGAGCTAGCCGCGCATCATCGTCATCGTGCTATTCAAACAAATGATTTACAAAATGTTAAATGAATTATGCATTTTGCATATGCGCTCTGGCCGTATCGTGCAATTTTTCATATCCAATAGCCAGCAGACCCAGGATACCCAGAGAGCAGAACGAGAACCTGTGCCAGGGCACATTTTCTTGGTGTTGGCTTTAATAAATTGGCGTGGGGTGCGCCTCGAGCAAATGTGCCTCAGCCACAACTTCTTGATGCTGTTGTCGCAGCCTTGTTTAGGCCATGTCCCGGCCGAATGTCCATGGCCATGTCATGGCATTGGGCGGCATGCGGTGACTTAAGCAAATACAGCCAATGGACAACGCGAAATGGAAGGCTCCTATAATCAAGTCATATAAATTGAGTGCATTTTTCATAATAAATGAAGGGAATTGTCTAAATTATGCCGTGTGCGCTCACCTGGTGACCACGAGAGTCAAGTGGGCCCTCGTCGTGTGGGCAGTGCGTGTGGGAAATAGCTTAGATGGAAAATTGCGAAGCAGTTGGACAACAGGTGGCAGAGCGAGTGCATTGATTGGGCAAGAAATTTAACTGAATAAGTGATGCCTCAGGCAAGTGACTCAAATCAAATTAGGAGCCAAAGTTCTATTCGTAGCCATTTCATCACCAAAAACAGAACTTAAAGGTATCCAACAAGAAAGAAACCCAATGAATTGTATCGTAAATTATAAACATATCCCAACGCACTTCATTATAAGAGAAAACTAGGGAACGAACACAAGCAAGCCACTCACTCAGTGGAAAATACAGTTGTATGTGGATCACATTAGGCAGGTGAGATATGTTGATGTGCCTTAAAACAATATTTGCGTGAATCCCCTCCCATGCCATCAGCGATTGCAGCCCAGAGATCTGTGTTTGGTTAGCAATTAAGTGCATCCCGAGTATGCAAGGCAGCATAACCCTCAGGGAATGGTAGGTATTGGGTGTGCCCGGTGCCGCCCGATTCCTGATCGATCATGTAAACAACTCCAGCATATTTAGTATGTGTAAAGAAAATAAATGGTCTACCGTCCGCGGGGAAAACGAGAGAATGGAGAGTGCACGACTAGACTAACAGTAGCCATGGGCTAATTATGCTCAAAGTCAGCTACCCAGCCCATGCCCATGCCCATTCTCCACACAGGTCTGGTGTTGTCTTGTCTCCCACTTGAGAGCTGCGCCCTTCAGCAAGATACTTGGCCTGCACTAAAGTTGATTTATGCACCTCTGCATAGGAACCGCAGAAACGAACCAAGCAGACTGCCAGGCGGCTGTTCTGCCGCTGAAAGTTTCAAGTAGTTTCCCCAACCAGATGCAGACCCAGTCCCAGTCCCAGACCCAGGCACCTTGCAGCCTCATTTCGCAGCCAACATTTGGAGCATTTAAATCACTCTGCCCGGAATTGTTTTGGCCATTGTTTGAGCCGAAATCGTGTGCAGTGAACAAATTATGAGTTCCAGCCTTATTCGATGTCACGTAATTGTTCAAAATATATTTAATCCATAACGATTCAATGAAAAATCTCCTCGAGAGCCCGCAGCTGCTGCTGGAACCTTTTGTTGAACTCCAATCCCCGAATCTCGCGATCAACATGCAATCGATCAGCATCGTATCCCCTGGATATCGGGTATTCCATTGGGATATCTTGATATCTTTGCTCAGAGGCCCTCAGAATGCTCTCGGCTATCCAATACAAGCGATCTTTATTGAATATATCCTTCACCGGCTCAGTGCGTCGTTTGAATATTACACTGGGCATGCAGTTCTTTATCGACCGATGGCAGGTGTCATCGTTGGGAGTTATTCTCTCTCTTCTGCGCTTATTCCCACTCCTGGTGCTGGTCAGAGCTGCTGCCAAGAGCTTAGCTCGGATTTGGTCTTCATTGGCGGAGGCCGATAGGTCCAAGAAGCATGAATTCTCATCCATGACTACATAACCCTTGGTATCTGGCAATTCCATCAACGCCTCGTCTGCATTGTAGATCCTTAGACCCAAGGGACTTCGCGCTGTCTTCGGCCCATTCCCCTCACAATCGCTTTGACATTGTGTTCCAATGGAGGCCATCGATCTGGTAATTAAGCAATCCTGATTTCCCTCAGTCTTACTGTCAACTTTCTCCGAGTTGCTGCTGCATCGTGCCATCTTAATGTTAATGGGACTATTTCCACGATCTTGATATTTCTTGGGCACACTTTTAGGGCGACGCGGACGCCGACGATGACGCTGATGATGATGGCGTGTGCCGCAGCAGAGATTATCTCTCGGTAGAGAAGATCGGTGTATTGTTGATCTGGTGGAACTCTCGCTGCTGGCTGGATAGCTGGTGTCATCTGTCATCTCTCGGTCACTGCGTTCCGCTTGAGAAATCTCCTTCTGATCCTTTTGAGAGCTGATTTGACAATGACTGGGTCCTGCATGGAAATCTTTCAGGCTTCTTGGTGAAGGTTGAGGCGTTTGCCCTTCACTTTCTCCAATCTGCTCTGAATCAAACTCTAGCTCATCGCTGTCTATCGATCTGCCAAAGGAGCTTCTCACGCTATCTAAGGCATCCTTGTTCTCATACTCGCTTATGATCCTCAGTGGCTCCTGATCATTGCAATCTTCAGGTGCATCAGCAGAATCGACAGAGCTATTTGTGGCTGTCTTCTCTTCCTGTTCCTTTTGCTGCTCCCCGCAATCGGGACTGTGAAACGTTTCCATAAAACCACTGACCTTTGGTTTGATGCTCACATTTGTCGCTCTGCGATAGTGTGCAACATCGCTCCAGGTCTCGGAGCTCCAACTTCTGTCTGTGTATGGCTCTGAATCTTCTTCAGTTCGATGTGCCCATTCTGCGGGATAGCCCGATGAATATTCCTCTCTGAATTTATTCAGATTGAACACACGACAGAGTCTGTCTGCCCTCTGTTGACGCCTTGTTGACTCTTCGTAGATCTCGCTGTAAACTTGACTGTAGCTCAGGGAGGTGTCAGTGGATTTTTGGCTTGAACAAGAAGTTGTTTCCGGATCACTCTCAGAGCGTATTTCTTCCTTGGGGTTGCTGTCAGAGTAATCATTTGTCTCTTCGGACGGCTGTTCTTCGGAGGTGTAGCAAATATCCGGTCTTACTTCTGCCTCTGCCTTGTGGTAGAAGTTCCTTTTGGAGACCTTTTCCTTGCACTCAATGTCCGATTCCTTGATATTGTGATCTATGTCAGCATCCTGAGCTTTTATGATCTGATTCACATACTCATCTGCTGTCTCCCAGCAGACCTTAACGAATTCCGTCGTACACTTTGTGCTGTCAGAGTGTTTTTCTGGGTCTTCTTCGGATGACACATTGCATATGTCCTCTTCGCAATGTTTTTCAGTTTTACTCGCCTCCTGTGGGAGCTTTGTTTCAGTATTTTCATCAGCATCACTATGGTTAAATACCTTCCCGAATTGCAGATTACTATGCCTGTTCTCGTTACCCTCCTTACCAGCAAGGGGCTGGTGGTGTAAAGATATTCATGAAGCATGGTGTATAATAATCCTCTCTTAACTCACCATTTCATCTGTTCGTGTAGCTGTATGTGAAATGTGTTTAGCTTCCTGACTTTACTTGACAATAAATGCAAGATTTGCTGAGGTTCTCCCTTGTTTTCATCACAATAATGACCTTTGCTTTCAACGGGCACATCAATTAGGGCCAACCGAAAACCTGGCAGCCACAAGGGAGCCGAGAGCCGAGAGCCGAGAGCCGAGAGCCGTCTGGACCACGAAACACCAAACTCAATTAGCCCCCAAAAACGTGGGGGAACATTTGAAGTAAAGTTGCCCCTCAATCAGCACGCGGTGAACTCAAACTTGCCCACACACCACGAACCAAAGAACAACCAAAAAAGTGCAGCCAGGGTGGGGCATGGGCGGTGTTTTGGGGCGTTTTTGGGGGCACTGCAACTGTGCTTCAACTGGGTGCCCCATTAGTGTCATTTAGCAGCTAATTATGCTGCGCCTGTGAATTACTTTTTAATTTGTTGCTCTGCTTCCCGCACCAAAAACAAAAATAAACGCCAGCCAAGAACCTCAAGTGGCCAAGAGCAAGCGAATGGCCAGAAGAGTGCCGAGTGCCGAGTGCCGGCAGCCAAGAAACTCAAGTGGCAAATATTTCCATTGGAGTTTTGGCAGCCAGCTTGGCTGCTCCCTCTATTCTCCGTTTCCATCTGCAGCTCCATTTCTGGTCGGTTCTGGACTCCCTTTTGGGTCTGTGGTCCGTCCGTGTCTGCTTGGCGCGTGCTGTGGGCGTTCTCTTTCATTTGTGTGCTGCCCAAGGGCCCAAGACCTTAGAGTCTGGCTCCCAATCTGTGGTAGCCTGGTGGCAAAATGGGCGTGTGTAGATGTAGAAATTATGTTGTTGGTAGAGACTCAAAAGGAAGACGAAACAAAGCTTTAGGAGAAGTGTCTGCTGCCGAGATTTTGGGATCGCTTGGTATGTTCAGATCGCTGGAACTTGAGGGCCTAAGAGAACGTTCTAAATACTTGCTTTAATTGATTTGTCAGGAAGTGTTACACGGAGGAAGTGGATAGAAAGTACTGGATACTGATGTGCAAAAAGTCTTTCGCTATTTCGTATTTCCTAGAGTACTTCTCTGGCATGTAAGTCCGTTCCCTGCCACCACTGGTACGCTGGCTGTTTACCTTTTGATGTTCACGCCTCTGGTGGCACACTTCAAGTCGCTATGGCCATGTTCCAAGTGTTAATTAGACAAAACTAATTAAACATTTTACGCACACACACACGCGCTCCGTTTAGGGACAGGGAACGGAGCAGGCGAAGACAACGGCGCCATATCATCAGTGGCAAAGTCGCCTCAATCAGCGATGGCTTGACGGAATGAAAGAGGGACTGCGACTGGAGCAGGGCCTAAGGATGGTTGCAGGCCAAAAGCGGCAGAGACACATTCACTGAAGTCGCTCAGAGGGCATAAATCGTTGAATGACATGCGACAAACGTCCGAGTTACATTCTGTGCGGTGCGATTGATACGACAATCGGAGGACGGATCGCCGAACGCCGATCGCCGATCGCCGATCGCCGTTCGATGGTTGCCTGGATGGACGGATGGATGGATGATGATGATGGGTAATTAAAAATTGATCACGTTTAACAAACTGCTACCGAAACAATATATCACAAATGATAAGTTGGAGCAGGAGGAGCAGAAGGAAGACTTGACAAAGTCACAAAAGTTGAGCAGCTCGATCGATTCGGTTATATGGACATATCGATCTGGTTGAACTGCCACATTAAGTCAAAGCTCTGGTTACATTTCATCTCGAAGAGTTCCCTCACCTCTCCTTACAGTTCTTCTTTGCTTTCAGTGTTTGTTTTTTTATGTGTGGTTATTGTTGATCAGTCCATCAATAATTCATTATGGCTGAGTGATCTATTCAGCAAAGGAGCCCATCGATCGTTCGTTTCTTCCATCGATCGCGAGAAAAAAGATATTCCGCCTGTCAGCCAGGGCACAACCCGTCCTGGCACAAGTGTTTCTTTTTGTTGGCCAGCATTTTGAAAGCAAAATTGTGCCATAAATATAATAAATACATATTGGAAGAGCCTGAGGAGGAGGCTGAGGGGAGCCAGAACAATGGAACCGCTCGAACAAGAGGTTCCGCTCATTATTAGCTAAGAATTGAAGGACCCTTCAGCATGGGTGTTGGTTTTTTCATCCAATAACCGTATGGAACTCCAATGGAACTTCTGATTGAACACCGCCGCCGTCGGGCCGGACAAGACATACTCCAGAATGTTATTGATGAATGCCAGCAATGCGGTAGGGCGATGGATCACATCACATCAGTATCAGTATCAGTATCAGCATCCCCGTGGAAAACTGCCTGCAGACTTCCTCCGGTCGTTTCGCAGCCCCCTCTGGAGACAACTTGGGCAAACTTTAACCCTTGAGAGATCTGCGACGAGGTGTTGGATAAAACATAAAGTTCGTGTGAATGCCGACACGTTGTGACAATTGTTTGACAACAGCAACAATAAGGGAACAAGCGACAACCGCAGACATGGAGAACTATGAAAAGGTCGTCAAGAGACAACCGCATGACTCGCCCACAATCATCGATGGCATTTTTGTTGTTTAAACGTGCCACGAGTCGCCCGCGAGCATTCAAAATATGCAAATGCCACAATGCCAGACAGGGGGACGGGGCTACAAGCAGGCAGCAGGAGGGCATGAGTCCCAGGCACAGTCACTGGCACAGGCACTAGGACAGAAACCAAACGAAACCAATCCAATCCAATCGTCGGATGGCATCATCTGGCTTGACTTTGTCGCTAGTTTCGCTGTGTGTTCTGCGAATGTTTGCGAGCAACAAAAATGAAATGAATACCCAACGAAATGCGTCCAATCATATTGACAGGCGGGACAAATCTTGGCAGACTGACGGGCAGACAGCGCTGTTCAGCGATTATTCTTCAGGATCTTTTAACGTTTCGAAGCAGGGAATATTTTCTGGCTAATCTTAATTCACTTTCCGTTTTATTGAACAATCATTTACTGCCCCCAAAAGGGACTATACCCCTATCCCACTTTGACTTACAACACTGTCTGCCCCTGCCCCACTTTGTCTGCTTTTGGAGCTTGTTCGTCCAGCGTTGTGGTTCTTGTTGTTCGGGGCTGGAACAACACCCAGAGAGCATATTGATATCGTGCATATTGATCTTGTTGGGCGATAAGTCTGCGCTCGAATACCTACAATATTTATATATATAAATATTTTCATCGCTGGGCTTAGGCTTCCACTTCCCTGGAAGTTGATCGCATAAAATCCGCAGGGGCAGAGGGGCATAAGGAAACAAAAACAAAGACTCCAGCTCCAGCTCCAGCTCTGTATTGGCATTAGAGCTTCGGTCTTCGGAGTTGGCCAGTAGTTGGATTGGATTCTTTTTTGCTTTTGGTTTTCTTTGGGCTTTTTCAGTTGAACCCAGGGCCAGAGCAAGACCAGGACGAGGACAGAGTATAGAGGATGGAGGACAGAGAACTAAGGCACATGTGCCCCAGACATTCTCACACGACCAGCTGTGGAATGGTGATTGGGGGGGGGGGGATACGGTGCGGGAGAACCTGGAACTGGGACTGACTCGATTGCGGTCTCTCTTCCTAGACCGCCACTATAAATTTCATAAACAGTTTGGCTTTTGCTCTGCCATTGGGACTTGCCTTTGCCTTTGCCTTTGCCTTTGCCTTTGGCACTGGAGTTGCCTTTTTGGCTGAAGGTCTTTGCATTTCTGCGAATAAATATTCGTGTGATTTTTTATCGTTATTTGATTTCGGCCAAATGTATTGGCCATATGAGTCAAAGATCTTGCCATAATTATTGCCATTGCAGTGCCAGTGAAAGGTACCAAAGGCCTTTCTAAAGTAACAAAATAATCTCATCATAAATATCAGGTAATGGAAGATGGAGATGATTCCCATGTCCAAGCAATTCCCTCCTCGTTTAACCCCAGTACTTCCTATAAACTCTTCGACCCATTAACCCCCATAAAGATTGCCACAAACATGTGTCAAGCCATAGCCATAAATGTCCGGGAAATTAACAAGAGCTCAAAAGTGTAAGCCCAATACCCCGAGTGGCCCCAAAAATAGTCATTAAGTGGCTGAGCCTCAACTTTAACCTTTTTAATGGCAGGCCTTACCCCCGCCCTCGCACACACACACACACACACACACACTCCTTGGTAAATTAGGCAAAGTCATAAATGGGGCAACATAAAATGCAGGGAGACTGGCGAAGATCTCCCCGTAATTATGCAAAACATTTCAATATACGTACGAGTATGTGCAGCTGGATTGGACATGGAGGGGCGTTTGCAGAAATTAACTTATTAATTCAGCAAGTTGGGAATTTCAATTTGGCCGATTGGAGGCCCTTTTAATGGTTCTGCAACGTTTTGGTTATTAATTTCACTCGCAAAAACACACACGGCGTATGTGGAATGTCCCTCTTGGCCTCTCTTGTTCTCTAATGAGGGAGAGGGAGAGGCAGGCCAGGGAGAGGCAGGCCAGGGGTGACCACAAACAGCAGCTCGTAATTTAATATTTCATGGCGCCAGCAGCACTATAAAAAAGGCAGCAGCAACCTCAGGACCAGCTCCAAAATGAAATGACTTAAGCTGCACCATTCATTATGACAACACGACGTGGCTGGAGGACCCCAGACCAGGACCCAGTCCCAGTCCCAGTCCCAGTTCCAGTCCCTGTTGCAGACAGGCCGTAGAGCAGTGCGCAGTGCGGGGGGGTCACACACATTCCCTGGCTTTTTGCAGATTTGCTGCTGCTTCATCTTCATCATCTTTCGGTTATCTTCGCAGGTCCTCCTCCAGCACCTTCTCCTCCACCTTCTCCAGTGCTCGCTCACACAGTAAAAAAATGTCTGCGCCAAACACAAATTTTGTGTTGAGATTGCGATCATTTCACTGATATGGCAGCCCCCGCCTGGACCCCGCTTGGACTCACTCCTACAGTATTTCGCATTCAGGCGTGTGCGCAGGCGCAATCCACGAATCGATTCACTCTCTGCCAGAGACCCGCTCCCCGCT